CAGTGTCTTGAAAACCGTTTCGGTTATCTTTTTTTTTTTTCACCCGACCGTCAAGTGCCGCGCGACTGCCGTCCCGTCCTGGTGCGCGCGTTTACTGTGTCGATAAACAACCGCGGGCGAATCGCTAGTGCGCGGCCGACCGTAAACATTTCACGTCCGCCGCGTCCCAGGGTCAACCGGCGCGCGACGAGTGCAGTCCCGGTGCCAGGGCCGGCCGCTCGATGGTCAGCGTGCGCAGCTGACGCCGGCCATGGTCGTCGCGGCGGCGAACTCACCACGGCGTTGCGCGGGCCATGAAGAAGACTGTTGCCGGCGGTGACGGCGGCGGCGGCGGCGGCGGCGGTGGCGAACGCAAATCCCTGCGTAACAGGCGGCGCCGCGTGTTGGACGACGACCGGCCGCCACCACCACCGCTGTTGCCGCCGCCACCGCCACCGCCACCCGCGGCCACGATCACCAGTGGGGCGCTGCTCAGACTGCAGACGGTGCATGTGACGCCGGTCGACGCGAGGGATTCTTCGGCGGCCTCCGCGGTCACCGACGATTGGCTGTTCGCCGACTGGCTGGACGGTAGCGGCGGCACCACAACGGCATCAGGTACACACGTCACATTATTCGTATCATATTACTATACCATCTAAACCTCTCCCACTACCCCACCGCTACCACTACCAGTCACCGACTTCCCTTATCACCGACTTACCACTCGGTTAACCGTACACTGAGCCCTGGACGACACGAAAACTATAACATCCGTACAGAGTAAACGCGAACCACGACCATTGCTACTGCATCGTAAACGATACGAATATTAACAAACGACGTATCTTTTCGTTTATCAATTATTGTGCTCCAACAAATGTATATATATATATATATATACGCATAATATGAAATTGCTCTCGATGAGTTCACATCGCGCTAATCGAAACATTTCCCGCCGTAAAAGTTGTATAATATATAAACCTTAGTAAGTATTAGTTACAACTATCTATGATTATAATTTAGGGGATTTCATAGAAAACTACGCGCAGTTTATGAATACTCAGGGGATGGGAAAACAGTTTTATCGAAGGAGCAGTAGACACTGTCATTCATCGTGATGAGCCAATCAACTTTATTTATGTTTAGTAGAATAACATATAATACCAGGTCGATATATGTAATTTACTGAACATCATATTTTAAAGTTTCGTGGATTATACATACATACATATATATATAAAAAGTTCATTACAAATCATTATTACAGTTATAACTGTTATTTTATCTTGCCTATATTAATCGTTATATGAAATTAGGATTGTTGAAAGGAGTATCTACATAATATTATAACATACTAACCTTAAATTTGATTACATACTCGTACTTCAGCATAATTGCATTTATATCTAAAAATCAACCGTTATCGGGTGTTTCAGGGTTGAGGGAAGTTTTTTCTAAGACTTAAAGTCTATATACTGTTAGTAATTTCCACGTATCAGATTGCATCGAATATGCATTATATAATATATGTATACCTAACCTATACTATACATATATAAATATCCTTCCCTTCGGGGTTCTCTTGGTCTTAGGTATACCTATAGTTGGAACATATGGTATATATATATACAAGCGGGCAGTGCATGAGCAAAACATAATTATAATTACTGGTATTTATAATTGATTATGGCATTCATCGGTGGACGGTGAGTGTACTTCAATTTGTATATAGCTCTAAAACCGCTGGCGGGTGTATTCATGTGCTTGTTTTTTCTTCGCGTCATCAGGCGGACGAATCGTCTCTGTTGAAAATGTACTGTTTTAGATTATATGGATTTGTTCTAGACGAATACATATAGGTAAAAAATAATACTAATAATAACAGCTATTCACAAGAAATTACATGTCTCGCTTATTTGACGTCACTGTATGGGCAGTTGAAGAATAATTTACACCACGGTCTCATAACACAACATTGGGCACCATATGCTCTTAGTGAAACATACTACTCATAATTTAATAGATTGTATACGTATGCCTATTTCATTATAATAAAAAATAATGATATGTACTATATTGCTGAAGAAATTAATCACACCAACTAAATTGTATTAAACTTTAACCAAAAGAAAGTCCATTTTTATGGATATTGATTGTTCGTAACAATCATTACTCATTGAATCCAATAAATACTATCAACACATCTTCATGTTTTCAACTTAGATATGCTTCTTGACATCATCGATACATTAATAACAATAATATATATAATTAATCATAATATGTATGAAGTGTAGTGTGTACATTGAAATCGACTGTGAATGTTTTTGACGGTTATTTATGTTTAAAATATCGTTATGACAGAAAAATCGAATAAAACGTTGAGAGAAAAAGAGAAAGCTTATAACTGTATTGAATATATTATTGTTAATAGGTGGTTCCATTAATGTTACTATTCTTGTAAACAAGATTTTATAAATCGAATTTATAACAACTTGACTAAACCCTTTATCCTTAGTATTATATACTATATACACTGGATTGATGCAATACATTGTTAGTTACAAGTAGAATATCCGTAAATAAGCACAACGCTATAAGACTCTTTATACACATTTAAATAGATAGTAAGGCAACAGGTACGTTTTTTTTTTTTT